AATGTGAAGTCTTGCTTGCCCAGGCTGCATTACTCACACACTCCACTAGTCTTTGAGATAGTGCAATGTATTCCAGTGTGCTTGGCTACAGGTTATGGAGTGAAAGAGACTTGGTCCTGCCAGTCCAGTTTTAGGGCATGGGGGCTCTTTTATGAGCTGAAGTTCTGTAGCAAGGTCAGCTGGAATTGTGAAATCCTGGTAAAATCTGAATCAGCTCAAATGGTGTTTAACTGCCCATTGTTCCTTGTTTTTCTTCTCTGCCTCTTCTGCATTTGTCCTCATCACAAGACTCCACCACCACCTGCAGACCGCTTTGGCCAGAGCGGCGGGATGGAGGGCCTCGGAGCAATGGGAGGGAATCCACCTGCCTTCAACAGAGGAAATCCAGGAGCTGATTTTGGTTCTAACAAGCGTCGTAGATACTAACAGGATTAAGCTACTCCTGCACACACCCCAAAAAGGAAAGGAATCCTGGCAGGCCACACAGGGCTCAACTCAAGGGGGGAGGGTGATGATATTAAAAATAGTTAATTAGGGCCTGTTTTGGTAAAGCCACTCTCGGCCAAGGGGGGTGCAGTCTGACTGGTGAAGGTTTTAGAAGAATTCATGTGGTGCATTCCTATAATTTCAATGTGAAAAATGGATTCTGGGAGGCTGCCATGGTCGTTAAGCCAGTAAAATCCAGCAAGGACCCTCATGCCTTGACCATTCCAGGTTTCCTGTTTGCAGCTGGAGTCCTGAGGCTAAACTAGATAAAAATTGCAGTGTCTTGGCATTTTTTTGTGTAGTGTACCTTGCTGAAGAGCACAGGGAAGTTTCTGGAGAATTAGGGCAGCATCTGGGTACTTTGCAGCTCCCATGATTCTGTAAATTGATATAGCTCCAAATGATCCATCATGTAGTTAATTGGGGAAGATTTTATGTTTGGGGTTATTTTGTTCTGTTTCTTTTTCTTCTAACTTGTAGTTACTCCTTTATCTGGACCATCTGTTTCTTTAAAGTAGTTGACTGTCATGTGCAGCCGGAATGGCTGTGGGAGGCTTTTCTTTGGATGGATTTTTTTTTTATAACGTGTTGTATTGCTGTTCATTTTTACTGGTAGTAAAGTACAATCTATTGGACAAAGATACTGTATCTCTTGCTGAAGATTTAACTAAAACAAATGTTTGTATAGTCTTAACCTTGCCTGTCTTTTGTGTAGAAGTACTACAAGATTTTTCATTTAGTGTAAACTGTTTGAACACAAGTTGTAATTGTTCCACTAAGGAGTCTGAGGAATGTTACAGGAATGCATTATTAAAGTGGATTTTAAGCCTTTTTATCTGGTGCCTTCTGAGTGTTTCATTTGTTTTTAATAAAAATGTATCCACATGGATTGGAATAAACCATGCTTCAGGTTATGGTGCAAAAGTTGTTATCACATAGCTCTGACAAGAGGTTGTTTAACCTGTGAGTTGATTCACAGAATCCCAGCCTGGTTTGTGTTGAAGGGACCTTAAAGCTCCTCCAGCTCCAACCCCTGCCACGGGCAGGGACCCCTTCCACTGGAGCAGCTTGCTCCAAGCCCCTGTGTCCAACCTGGCCTTGAGCACTGCCAGGGATGGGGCAGCCACAGCTTCTCTGGGCACCCTGTGCCAGCGCCTCAGCACCCTCACAGGGAAAAGCTGAGCTTCAGCCTCTGCACAGAAGGAAACACTCCCCTCTCCACGCTGTTCCAGACCGCTGGCTGTTACGGAGTTGCGGACTGATGAGGTATTTTGACTATCATGGCCAGGAAACCCTTGCTTTTTACTGTCATATCCAGTCAGCTTGTTTAAAATGCATTTGCGCAGAATCAGTTCGTACCAAACCAAGGGCTGACGAGCAGTCTGGGTTTTTTAATTTTGCTGAGTCACCTCCATGCCAGAGGTAGCCAAAAAGAGAGGAACAGAGCAGGGAGCTCAGCCAGGCTCCCGCTGCCTTCAGGACACTTTCCCTGCCCATTCTGCTCTAACTGAGCTAATAATGACCATGTTTTATGGTCACAGGGCCCTCCAAAGTAAAACCTGTAAACCCCCACGTTTCCCACCAGTTCAGGCTGTTCCAGGTAACAGGTTTTTATTACAGATGCGAGCTAATGATGAGAAAACTGTATCTTTAGAGTAAACTGAGCTCTTCATTTTGGGCTGGTTCCTGTTGATGACCAAAGTGTGCTTTGTGATGTGTTTTCAGAGCAAATGGGCTCCTTTAGTAGCTCAGCTCTGAAGAGATGACGTTTTCTCTGGAAGCAAGGCAGTGCCTGAGCTACAGGGAGAACATTCTCATCAACGGGGCAGCTGATTCCAATTTAAAGTTGTAATTGTTCAATGATACCAGAGTGTTGGGGCAAGAGCTCTGTAATAACTCAAGCTGCAGAAGGGCAGTGTTCTTGAATGGAGAGATGAAGATTGCCCACATGCCCATTTCTGATTATTTTTACGGTCTTTTTCCAAGCTGTTCTCTCAGAGACCTCTTGGCCAACTGCTGGTACTGAGTAGCGCTGACAGAAGAAGAGCAGTTGGGCAGAAATTCTGCTGGAGAATTCCTCACATACATTCTTATGGGGAACATTTTATTTCCCAGGTAACCAGAACATGAATTCTGCCTACTAGCATATGTAGCTGTAGTATTTATGTCAGGGATTTTCCTTTCTCTAACCAGCCTTTTGTATGGAGGAAATACTCCATGCTGTAGCACTGAACTCCCTTTACAGTGCCCTGGATTCCACAGGGTACCCTGAGGACTCAGGGTTGAGCGGGAGTTTCCTTCCACAGAGGCATCCAGCATGTTCTCCCCAGGACTCTGGGGGACTGTTTTAAACTGACCCTGATCATTCAGGGGTAAACGCATTAAGTTTGGTTTAAGAATCATTTGGTCATTTTTTCTACCTTTTTGTTCTGTTATACATTAAATTAAGTGCACATAAGCCACATAGGCTCTATTTTTAATTCTCTGCTGCCCCATTCCTTGCTGGCTTTAACCTTCCAGAGAGGAGATTGAGCTGAGCTCTTAGGCAGAAGCTCTTCCCTGTGAGGATGCTGAGGCGCTGGCACAGGGTGCCCAAAGGTTTCCCCTGGAGCACATCTCTATTTCACCTTGTCCTCCCCTGTGCCGAGAGCTGTGGACACCCCAATCTACCCTTTGTCACTGACAGGCTGTGCTCCTGGTAGGTTCTGTCTTCTAAGCCTCATTACCTGCAGACCTTTGCAACGGAGCAGTGGAGGAGCGAGGGCAGAGCAGTGCTGCTGTGGGCTGCGGGCTGCTGCTCCTCTGGTGCTGAGGGGGTTCTGCTCAGCTGCAGCCCCCCATGTGTCTGCTGGTCCCTCTGCAAGGACAAGCCTCGCTGCGTGAGGCAGCCACAGCATCCTCATGGTGTTTGCTCCCAGCATGCGTGACAATGCGAGCTCCCGGTTCTCACTGGCACTGGGATGGTGACAGCTGCAGCCCTGCTGCCAGCCTGTGAAAGGACAAGGAGATCTGAAACCCTATCGCTCTGTCCAGCCCCCAGGACTGCAAATTCTCTGAGCTTCGTGGGTTCCAAGTGATCCTTCCCGCTGGAACAGAGGCTCTGGATGCCAACAGCAATTTTTTTACCCATCTTTGAGACTGCTGTGTCATTTATTGTGTCTTGAGCACTGCATACCTTTGAGGGAGGTATCAGGTTGAAACCATGCTGCTCATGCTAGTATGACAGTTCCCCAGTGCCCTCATGTTTCCCTCCTGGCTTTTGGGTGGATGTGGGTTTATACACAGGCTACCCAGGTCTGAGGAGGCCTGGTCGTGATGGTGGTACATGTCCTTCCCTCCTGCGGGGCTGTCTTCCTTGCTAACAAGGTGACGGAGAAAAGCCCGGTTACTGCTGGTGATGGCTTCACAAGGTGAAGATGGCAGAACTGAGCTGGAGGTGAGCAGCAGTGCAGTGCAGAATGAGTCTGGAGTCATCTCCTTGGTGACCTCCGGAACTCTGGCAAAGGTTCATCCTGACTCTGGACTTTGGAGATCCCCTTGCATCCTGCGGGCTGTTGTAGGGGGATTAACTGGGCTAAACCAACATCATGGGACGGGAATGGGGTTACATCAGCCACCGTGTGCTCTGTGGGTTCCCCTCCGAAGCAGACTCCCTGGGCAGCTTCTACCTCCAGCACTTGTCCTTTGCCCTCTCTGGTAGTGCCAAGGGCTTATGTCAAACCAAATTCCTGAGCAGAAATGCTCTCCTGGTGCTGCGTGCTCTGGGAGGTCAGGGCAGTGCCCAGGAAACTGAGGTGTCCAGCTGTCCCTGCAAACAGGAACAGCAAAAAGAAAAGAGTATTTGTTGCAGATGCTTGCGGGAATTAAATAAAACCTTTAATGTGCAGAGTTTTGTAATGGAAAACCCTTGGGTCCCAGAATGGGTGCAGGGAGCCTCCTGGGTACACGGGACCCGTGTAACATTTTGTGTTCTTCTTCTATGGTGACAATAATCTTCATCCCTGAGTTGCACAAGACCCTGCCATTGAAGGGTGTCTTGGCCACGCGCACTGCTTTGGTCGGCTGGAGGCTCTGTCAAGCAGACAGTGGTGGTTTCGGGGCTGGGGCAAGTCATCACACGTTTTGCCCTGTGACTTTGTGAAGTTATTTCCCTTCTTTTTCAGGGAAACTTCAGCTGCTTCTGTAACTGCTGAAGAAACGGGGAGCATTTTGCCAAGAGAAATCACAGTGACTGTGAGCACTGGGGTGCTGCTGGCGCCTCCATGCCAGATGCTGGCAGGACTATGGATGCTGGAGGTCCCCTGCCCAGCCTGCAGTGCCCATCGCCTCTGCTGGGTGCAGGGCAGGACAAATGCTTCACGAGATAACGTGGGCGCCAGGTCCTGTCAGCTGCTGAGCTGCTGTGTCCATCTTTAGCCTGCTCTCAGGTTACCAGCCACCTCCTCTGGCTGCCTCCAAAGATAGACAGAGCCACCTCCCGGTGCCTGGGCTGGAAACTGGGGGAAAGCAGAGGGGGAGGATCACAGGTAGGGAAGAGACCAACAGATTTTTGTGGAAGGAGAGAAGGAAGCCACAAGTACACCTGAGCTATGGCATCGCTGTGCTACAACAAGGGCTGTGGGCAGAGGTTTGATCCTGAGCACAACACCAATGGTAAGTGGGCTCGTCTGCTTTGTGCTGGGATGAGTGGAATGTGTGCAGTTTTCCTGGTCTCAGAACCAGCCTTGGCTGACACGCCATGGCCTGAGCTGCCAAACAGGGCTGAGCTGAGCCCAGGATGGCAGGAGCTGGCTCAGAGCTGCTGGGTGTCACGGGTGGCTCGTGGGCAGGATTGCTCCTCCTGAAATCCCCTGATTTTCCCTTTTCAGATTCCTGCCTGTATCACCCCGGTGTACCCATCTTCCACGATGCCCTGAAGGTGAGTGGGGCAGGAGCCAGGGCTGCAGCTGCAGCCTTGTGGCTGCTGGGATTGCCTACACCTGAGCAGTCATCTCCTGGTGCCTAGGGCTGGTCTTGTTGCAAGAAACGCACAACAGACTTCTCAGAGTTCCTCTCCATCAAGGTGAGCGACCCACAACCCCAAATGCACCCACTGCTTCTCTGTCCTCTCCTTGCCCCTCCTCTGTGCTGTTCTGTCCCATCCTGTGCCAAGGCTGCCCTCTTTGCCCATCAGCCAGGGATTTCCTATCTGCTTCCAAGGAGCCTGCAAGGGTGCTGCTCTCAAAGCATGGGGCAGGCAGTCCTGGAGAAGGGTGTCCAAAGGAACCATAGTCCCCTACAAGAATCCTGCAAGGGTGAACACAAACGCTCCAAGCACAAGCACAGCTGTGAAAGTCTGAGTGGTGCTGGGGTCAGGGGGGGAAGGAGGCAGCAGAGGACCAAGGACGTAGGGGAGATTCTCTCTGCCCTTCAGCTACCAGACTGTGGTGCAGCAGAGCTGAGACCTGTCTGCCATGGCCTTGGTGAGGCTGCCACACTGTCTTGTCCCTGGGAATCCCTGCAGCCTCAACCCCTGCCCTGGTGCAGTATCAGAGCCCGTCCCTGCAGGACACAGAACCAGAAAAGCACAGAAACTTGCAGGGTTTGTGAGCAGGTGCCAGAGCAGGGAGGACAGAGCAGGCACAGGGCTTGCCTCTGCTGCTCAGGGATGCACAAAGGGATTTCACAGCAAGGAGAAGCCTCCTGAGCCTTTTAGCCAAGGGGAAACCTCAGACAATCAGAAGGCCAAACCAGTGGAGGAGCTCATCATCCAAGGACCGAAATCAGCTGAGAAGATGCAACGGGAAAGACCAAGGTGAGGTGGGCTCAGCTAACAGTGTTGCCTTGCAGTCCCACTCCTTCTGCATGCATTCTGCATGCATTCCTGAGGAAGTGCTGCTGCTTCCTCTGGAGAGGCAGAGACACACTGCAAAAACCCCCAAACCCTAACTCAGCCTTTGCTGCTGCTGTTTCCCAGCTCTGATGAGCCAAGACAACTGCTGCCCATTAAAGTGTCCAGGTCTCTGGAACAGGCACTGGAGAAACTGAACCTGTCCTCCAAAGATGAGGCACTTGAGAGCAGTTGTGCAAGTAGTGGTGAGCTGATGGACGGCGTTGGGATTGCAGATGGCAAGTTCAGCGTGGGGTTTTGCATGGCAGGTTCAGCACAGGCTGGCAGGTGCTGCATACTCAGCACCAGCCAACCCCCAGAGCTGTATCTTGAGGCACGTTGCAATGAGCTGTGCTCAGGGGCCATCCATGAGAAGCTGGGCAGCTGGTGGTGGGGCTACGGGGAGGGTTTGGGAGTGCATGCTCCAGGGTGAAGCTGTGCTGCTCTCACAGGGGAGACGACTGCCCAGGTGAGAGTCGGCACCACCTGCAAGAATGCATCCTGCAAGGTGGTGAGTACCCAGCAGGTCCCATCTTCACATGGCCAGCAGTATTGCAGGTCCAGCTTAGGGGCTCATCTTCTAGTTCCACAAGGTACTGTGCTGGTGGGAGTGCCCATCAGCTCTGTAAGCTCCTGCTCATCCCAACCCTAGAGCAGCTGACTCTGTCACTTCCCAGCCACATTCCTGACAGAGGCTTCTAGATTCCTGATTGGAGGTACATTTGCATTTCACTGCTGCTATTCGCTTGCAATGAAATGTAGCACATATTCAGCATATGGGCATATAGATAAAATGCATGTGGAATAATTCCCACCTACATTTAATTAATGCAGCAGAGCCCAGTTAGTATCTCACTCCAAGGCCACCTTGTGTATCCTGCCTCCAGGAGTCCACCTGAATGTGGATGTGTTCCTATGTAACCTGGTCTAGATGGCCCTGCTTTGGCAGGGGGATTGGACTGGATGATCTCCAGAGGTCCGTTCTAGCCCGAAGAATGCTGGGATTGTGTGTGCTGGAGGGACCAAGCTGTGGGAAGGCTGGCAAGCTTGGAAAGCAGCAGAGAGGGAAGCAAACAGGGAGCAAAAGACAGCAGGTGGATAGGGACATGAGGCCAACATGCTCTGGGAAGGATGGGAAAGGATGGGATGGACAAACAGCCCCTTGCACCTTGCAGCCAGTTTCTGTGGTGTACAAACTTGCCCACTGACCTGATGTTGCCCAGTCCCAGGCTGGGATCAGGCTGTGTTTGGGATATGCCATACAAAAGGGAGGCTGCCAGGGTGTCAGGGGTGGCTCTGGAGTGCTGGTGAGCTCAGGGTGGCTGCCCTGATGGCACAAGCAGGGAGCAGGCAGCAGGGCCAGGGTGCCAGAGACGCAGAGTCCCAGAGTAAGTCCTCACAGATCCTGGACCTAGTGAAAGGCTGATGTTGGGCATCATGCTGTGCGCTAAGGAGGGATGGGCACCAACGGGCAGATGAACGGCTGTGTCATGCTGCATCATGCCTGAGGCACAGCCAAAGATTCCCTCTGCTTCTTGCTCCACAGATGTACCACGGCCCAGAAACCAACACAGAGGTTTGTACTTTCCATCCTGGTGTTCCTGTCTTCCATGAGGGGTAAGAAACAACTCTTCACCAGGAAGCAAACCGACCCTGCTGAGGGCTGTAAGTGCCCCATTGCAAGGCCATGTGGCCTCAGCAATGCGCCCGTGCAGCTGTGGGTAACACCCCCGAGGTGGGCAGGGGGAGCTGCAGGCTCCGAGCCACTCTCCCCTCCCGCCCCCAGAGCCTGCTTCTGCGGGCGCTCCCCGCTCAGGTCAGCGCGCTCTCTGCAGGGTGAAGTACTGGAGCTGCTGCGGAGTCAGAACCACGGACTTCAGCGCCTTCCTCCAGCAGCCGGGCTGCAGCCGTGGGCGGCACTGCTGGGCAGGGAAGGCGGTAAGAGAGCTCTGGGGGGGGGAGGTCTGTGAGCACAGTCCGGTTGCTGGCACCCGCGGGTGCTCCTTCCCTTGCTCTGCATTCACACAGGGTTCTGAGCTTAATTCTCGTAATTTTCATAATTGCCACAGGTGACTGCAGGGTTGAAGGCCTCATCTTCACCCGTCTGCTATTTAAAATGCTGCTCCTGCATCCACAAAACGTGTCAGCTCCCACAGCCTACAGGCAGACGTGCAACAGGAAGCTGTACAAGGCGGGAGCTGCCCTCAAGCACAGCACAGGCAGCGCTGGCGGCTGCTGCACAGGGCAGGCTGCTGAGCATGGGAAAATCCCTCCAAAAACCCTCAACAGTTTTGTCAGATGACTGAATCTGGTTCCCTCTGCAAGTGCTTTTCAGGAGGGATCTCATGTATATAGCAACATGGTGTTGCGGCAGGGCAATAGGGAGAATATCTGAATTCCCAGTGCTGTGTGTGTATGTGTAAGCTTCCCCCAGGAAAACTCTAGGCTGTCAACAGGCTTGAGCTAGGAAAGCCGCATGAAAGTGGCCCAGGATATCGCTGAAAGTGCATCATGTTCCTCTGAGCTAGGGCTGCTCTGAGCAGCCTCCTCTGACACCAGACTGTTCTTTGTCCTGGAGCAGAAAACACTTACTGGATGTAAAGGAAGCTGCAGGGAATGAACTGTGATGTTGTGGTGCATATGCTTTGTGCTAGTTGTCACCTGAATTTGGGGCTGGGGCTCATCCTGGGGCATTTGTTTAGCTGGCAATGATGAGGACTGCTGGCTTATCTCCTGGAGATGCTCCAGGAATGCCTGGTGCTGTCAAAGCTGCCTGTGGCACAGATGAGGTGTGGGTCCTGTGGGAGAAAAGTGAAACATGGCCAGTTGGGTCTCATCTGCCTCCAAAATTTAGCATGGTGGTGTGATCCAGCAACAGTCCCTACACTGCCCTCCAGACTGAGTTTTCTGACTCTGCACAGCAGGTGTGAGCTTGGGCACAGCCAAGGGACCCTGGAACAAGAAGGGGATATCTCTGGTCTTAACATGTCCTTAACTGCCTCCCCTCAAAAAAAAAAAAAAAAAAAAGGCACAAAAGGCAGGGCTTGATCTTTTTTGGCTGATACCAGCCTCAGCCAGTGCTCTGCAAAGGAGCATCCTCTGGTGCAGGCATCCCCTCTGTTTGAAGTGTGTGTGGGCTAGACACTGTGCCATGATGGGTCCCTCTCCATGGCAGGACAAGAAGGCAGTGTCATGCCGGCAGGACTGGCATCAAACCAGCAGCCAGGTGGTGGTGACTGTCTATGCCAAGAACCCGCTGCCTGCCCTCAGCAGTGTGAAAGCCAACCGCACTGTGGTGAGTGGGGCTGGTAGAGCTGGGCTGGGGGATGTGCCTTCATGGCACCTGAATTTGATCAATGGCCAGGAGCCGGCCGCGTGCCTGGTGCTCTTTGATGGCCTGTTTGGTCTATTGCTGCAGCTGGGGTTGGCACTGCCAACCTGCTGTCACAAAGCTGAGAGCCCCTTGGCTTCGCTGCTGCAGGAGCAGCTGCCCAGCCACTCTGGCTCAGCAGCTTTCAGCCTCAGTAGGTGGCTCTGCTGATCTTGAATCCCTCAACTGGTGGCACAGGTAAACCTGGTATGCTCTGATTGGGGGTGAAATGCTTCTAGGGGGTGAAATGATCCCAAGGGTATCACCAGACCATTACACCAGAGCCAGGACATGGGATGCGTTACGGTGCTTTGAGGCAGATGCACTGCCTGGGGAAGAGTTCTGGCAGTGATGTACCACCCACTCAGGTAATTTTCTGTTGATCTTTCAGCTTGAGGTTCACGTCATTTTTGAAGGAAATAAGATTTTCCAGGCTGAAATGAATCTTTGGGGGGTAAGGGTCCGTTTACTCTGATTTCGCTCTTCCAGTAGTCTGCATGGGGTTGGGCTGCAAAGCTGTAAGCCAGCCTGTGCTTGCTCTTGTTCCTGGGCCAGGTCACCCATGTACTGACACTTACAGCCATCTCTCTTTGGAAATACCTTTGGGGTTATGACAAGGGCAGTTTCAGAGCCTCTTTGATTTCTCTACTGCTTGCTTGCTTGCTTGCTGGGGAGGAGCAGTGGGACTCAGGAATTTATGTGTGCATTTCTCCCCTTTCTTTCTGGTGTGTGCTGCTGGCTGTGGGTATGCCTGTGTTTCTAAAGCTTTTACTGCTGTGGGGAGAGCGCTGCGCTGCAGCCCTGCATGCGGCTGTGGCTAGCTGAGCTCCCCTGGGCTCTCTACCAGCACTGCACTGCTGCTTAGATGGAGCTGGACACCATGAAGCTCAGCTGCAGCCCAGGTTTCATCCTGCTCTGTCTCCTGGCACATGAGAAGAAATTCCTCCTCTCTTCTGTGGCAGGGCTCTGCCAGAAGGCAAAGGATGAGGATGTGCTGCCTGCCCTTCTCTGCCCAGCTCACTGCACTTTTCCCTCTCTCTAGGTCATCGAAATAGAGAAGAGCTTCGTGAGCATGGTCCCTACCAAGGTGGAGATCACACTTTGCAAAACCAGCTGTGGCTCCTGGGCCAGGCTGGAGCTCCCCCAGAGCAGGTCACACTCCTGTGGTGAGCAGAAGGCTGCCAGCACAAAGGAGCCTAGAGCCACACAGGAGGAGGATTCAGATGACAACTTGAGCTGGTCAGAGGATGATGGTGAAGAGCTGGAAATGGGAATACCGAGCAACTGACAGTCAAGCACTTCAGTGGCTGAGCAGTGCTGGCTTCTGAGCTGCTGGGAACCTTGGCACCTGCTCCAGAGGAGCAGATCCGGCCCAGAGCCATGTGCAGGCTGCCGCACACCATCTCCCCTGGTCAAGCGGCAAGTAATAAAAACCCAGTGCAAAGGTAACATTCTGAAATCCCTGACAAGTGCTTAAGGAATACCAGCGACCTGAGCACCGCCATCCTCTCCCACTCCAGTGACCAGCCGGGCAGGACAACGGCAGGAGCTCCAGTGTCTGCCCCTCGGGTTGTCCCCCCGGACCGCGCTGTCTCTGCCTCGCAGGGACGCCAGGCCCAGGAACTGTCAAGAAGGAGATGGCAGCCGCGGGCACGAGCGGAACGACCCCGCTTCCGCGGTGCTGGCGGGGACCGAACGTTCCTCTCGGCAAAGGCCGCTACGGCGGGACGGGAAGGCCGCGGAGAGGCGGGCGCCGAGGCCCTGCGCTGCCTGACAACACCAGCGCTGGCGGCCCCGCTCCGCGCCCTGGGCAGAGCCTGCGGCTGCCCCACCCTCCAGCCCCGCCCCGCCCTCCTGCAGCGGCGCCCCCTGGCGGGCCCGCCGGGCACCGTGGCGCGGCAGAGGGCGCGTGCGCGCGGTGCAGCAGGGGCGGGCGCCGGGGTGCGGCCGGGTCGAGGGTCCCGCCGCTGCCCCGGGAGCTGAGGCCGGTGGCGGCGCGGGAGGTGAGCGCGGTGCGGGCGTGGCGGTGCCAGTGCGCGCGGATGAGTGGCGTCCCCGGGCTTCCCGCGTGCGGCGGCTTGGCGGGCCCTGGCGGGCCGTGAGGTGAACCAAGCTGAATGGAGGTGCGGTGGCTGCGGCCCGGCGGCGGAGCGGGCCCCTGCGGGCCGCGGGCACCCCGCGGGTGTTGCTCTTCAGCGTTGCTGCCGGGCGGAGGCCGGCACAGGCGTCACGCTGAAGGGTGTGGGGGGGGAAGATCCTCGGCGTCCGGCCGCCGCCACTCTCGCTGTCAGCGGGGCGGTGGCCCGCGGCAGGCGCCGGCCTCTCCCCGCCTGGGAGCTGCCGCGGTTTCCTTCTCCGGAGAAGAGGTTCACGCGATGGCCCGCAGGTAGCGCGGCCGGCTCCGGAGGAGGGAAGCGAGGCAACCACCCCGTAGCTGCGGGGCGAGTTGCGTTCTTCGTTCCCGGAGGGTGCGGAGATGCTGTGCGGGTCCTGGTTTCTGCAGGCGGGCTTTGCGGAGGTGAATGTAATCATCAGGGGGCCTGGAGATGCTGGAGGCGTAGGGGAAGACGAATGCGTCGGAGCGGTTTTTCTGGTCCCAGGTGCAGGGAGCGGGACTGGCTCCGTGAACAGGTCCTGCACTTCCTTCTCCTGTTCGAAGGCTGAGCTGTTCTAAAGTCAGGCTGATGCTAATCTGTATCAGGAATGCAGTGACGAATTTAAGGTGACCTCTGCTCCCAGCAGATTTAATAAAAAGTTGGCATATGGCGGTGAGTTACTATTTTCTGAAGGTCTCTTGTTTCAGTGCTAAGGGTGGATTTTCCTTTATAGGGATACATAAGAGTAGTCATATTTGATCAGCTCTCTAAAAACTACCAAGTTGTTGTCTCAGGAAGAGTAGAGCAAGGTGGTGACTTAAAATATTTTGAGTGCTGAGGGGTTTCCACAGGGGTTTCAGGTATTGTCTTAAGCTTGCTTTCATAAGTTTAATGGTGTTCTTCTTGAGTTTTACAACATCTCAGGATTTGTGTAATCCCGTACTGAAGAATTCCTAGCTTAACCGCAAACCCTGAGAAGCAATGCTACCTTTGATTTGTTCTGCACCTCCCTCTTTCTGATTTAATGTCCCTTCAGTGCTTGGTTTTGGGGTTTTTTGTTTAAGACCCAGTGAATAGTCAGTGTCCATTTACATTTTATAAGCAGTTGTGATTCTAATTGTATTTACTCTGAGTTGTAAAAAGAACCCAAAAACCCATCAAAAACATTAAATGCTTTTGGTTTTTGTGTCGCTATGATTGCAACATGTGTCTTGTGCTGGGGTGCAGTGATCCTTATGCCACCATCATCAGCCATGTGCTCTTTCTCCCAAGCTTAGTTTTTGATTATAAAAGGTTATGGGTCTCCTCATTGTCAGATGTAAAATGCATAAATTGAAGGCTCTGTTTGGCGAGTTTTCCAGTGTTAACTACACACAAGTTTTTCTGTAGGGAACCTTGAGATATTTGGTATTTTAGATTACCACTTCCGTTAAAAAAAAAAAGCCCAACAAAAAAAATGATGTTCAACGAGGCCAAGAGCAAGGTCCTCCCTCTGGGTTGGGGCAATCTCCAGCACAAACACAGGCTGGGGGAGACTGGATGGAACAGCCCTGAGAAGAAGGACTTGAGGTGTTGGGTGAGGAGAAGCTCCCCATGACACGGCTTCAGTGAGCACTTGAGCCCAGAACCCGCTTGTGTACTGGGCTGCACCCCCAGAGCATGAGCAGCAGCTCAGGGAGGGGATCCTGCCCCTCTGCTGTGCTCTGGGGGGACCCCCTGCAGTCGTGATCCAGCTCTGGGACAGCAGCACCAGAGGTGCATGGAGCTTCTGGAGCTAGTCCAGAGGAGGCCACGGAGATGCTGCAAGGGCTGGAGCAGCTCTGTTCTGGAGCCAGGCGGAGAGAGCTGGGCTGAGGCAGCCTGGAGAAGAGAAGGCTCCTGAAGGGGAGACCTTAGAGCAGCTCCAGTGCCTAAAGGGGCTCCAGGAAAGCTGGAGAGGGGCTTGGGACAAGGGCCTGTAGGGACAGGGCAAGGGGAATGGCTTGAACCAGCCAGAGGGGAGACTGAGATTTTCCTGGTATATACATTGTCCTTCAAATACAACAGTGGCTTTGTCATAACTTTTATTAAGAAACGGGGGGGGGGCCCCCCCCCCGGAATCTGGGATGCTTTAGCTGGATTTGTCATTCATCTCGCAATGCGCTTAATGTGCCTTTTTACAGAACCTCATGTCTGAGGTAATTGTCTTGTCTTTTTTTATCCAGCAATAATGGATAAGGCATTGCCACAGTCTATAAAAGGTAGGACAAACATGTTATTTGCTCTTCATGAACTGACTATGATACCCAGACCTCTGCATGTCTTGCATGAATCCATTCTTCTGTATGTGGTTTCAGTGGGAAAATCAAGTTTAATACTATGCAGCTTTTGATTATGGCAGGATACCTGCTATATTCTTACACTGATGATTTAAATATCTACTGAAGTCCTGGTTTTTAGCTCCTGTATGATTGTGCAGCGACACCTTGATGTAGTGTTATTTTACCAGCTTGTTTCTAATGCTCTTTGCAAATACTATTCAGTAAACAATCTTGGGATCATAGAATTTAAGGTCACCGGTATTTGGTTACTAATATCATTGCTCTCCTATAAAATTTGGAGTATGAATATCTGTAGTAAGAGTGTGGATGCAGTGAGGTTTGTCTGGTTGAGGTGCCCAAATACCTCTTGCAGACCATTTAGTTTTCACTGTGGTTCCCCAGAGAATACTGCTTACATGGTAAAGCTTATGTTCAGTTCATCCCTGGAAAAAAAATCTGTAAATTGGTAAACCAATTTCAGCCTAATTTGACAAGGAAAGAGATTTAAAAAGCACTATATAAGAGGTTTTGGATGGTTTCTCTTATTTCTTTGAAAAAACTTTTTGTGCCAAAAGGGGCAAGGCCTTTCTAGCATTCACACTGAGGAAACAACCAGAGAGAGCTCTGCTCTTGTTAGGCACCAGCAGTATGTGCATGGATGCTGAACCTGCAGGCAGAGCTCTGCAGAAAGCAAGTTTGCTTGATTCAGGTGTTCACATGGAGTCTTGGGCTCCATGGTTCTTGTGCTACTGAAACCTGGCTTTGCTTGCTGATTCCCCTCTCTCTGCTGCCACTCAGGCTGTTGCTGTCTGTTTTGTTTCTCTTGCAGGTTTCTCTGGCAGGACAGAAAACAGTGTGGAAAACTGTGAAGGGCACTGAGAAGTCCAAGTAGGTCATTCACTGCTGAAGGGTAATAGGAATGAAGTCTCCTGTTTAACTTTTTTACTCTTTCTTGGCATGCGTTCTAGAAGTCTGGCACTAAAACAATGGTGAATAAGCTGAGCTGTTGTGGAATAGTAACACAGTCTTAATTAAATTGCAGAGAGCCCTTTCTCTTTCCTGTCAGGTCTGGTGGCTAAGCTGCACACATGAAAATTCTTCATTCCTTTGCATGACTGAGGATGGTAGCATATACTTAGAGCTGCTTTATCCACCCAATGCATTGTTGAATGTTTCTGCCTGACTTCACCTATTGGGGAGATAGAGTGAATCATCTCTGATCCAGTTTTTGTTCCTGGAAGATGAGCAATTAAGTCATTCAGATTTCTAAACTTCTGCTTCTACTTGCTTTGGATAAAACAGTGTCAGTCTTCTGAGCCTGCAGAACAGGGATGGATTGATAAAAGGTTGTGGTTGAACAGAATAACACAGCTCAGTTTAGGTGATTTCAGCTGAACTCCTACTGCATTTTCTGCTCTTTTTTTTGGCCAAAATAAGGCCTACCCAAACTGGAAACAGATATGGAAGACTTGACAAACTGTGAAAATGAGCAGTATTAAAGCTAACGAGCAATATTAAAGCTAAAACCTGCCTAACAGAGAGGCATGTTCTGTTAATGTAGCAACAGCAGAGGCGTATCATGTTAAGAAGTAGTTCCTCTGCCAAGAATTTTTTGACGTGCAGGTATTATAAAACCCATAAAGCTAGAAAACCCCAGAAGAGTGCAGGTTCATGTTTCCTCTCTATTTTCTCTCTGTTTTCTCCCTTCTCTGAGTAGAGGTACTAAAGGGAAGATATGGAAGCTTTTTCTCTCCCACAAAAAAAATTTGATGCAACATGAACTTATTCTGTGATTTCACTTATGATAGCTTTGTGGGAACAGGGAGTGGAATCCAAACAGTTGATTTCCCTAGCAGATGTCCAGCTGGGTTACAGGAGAGCAAGCTGTCCGTATTAATGCTACCAGTAGGATAGGTAATTAGGTCAGAATGGGAGCAGCTCTCCAGATGATGTCTTGACATGTCGACTGAAGTCTTGTACATTCCAAAGGAAGTGCCAGGTGTGCAGGCAGCTGCAGACTTTGCAGCATCTTCTGAGAAGGAAACTGACCCAGTCAGGAATGCCAGTTTTCTAATTCAAAGGCAGTGGTGGACAAAATAGAAGTAACTCTCATCTACATATTTTTGCATGACACATCTTTGTGGGTTGTTTGGTTTTGGGTGGATTTTTATTTTATTTTATTTTACTTTGCTTTATTTTATTTTATTTTATTTTATTTTATTTTATTTTATTTTATTTTATTTTATTTTATTTTATTTTATTTTATTTTATTTTATATTTCTATGCAAATGATTCCCATTCTGATGTAACTGCTGGAACTCTTCATGTTCTGATGATCTTCCACTTCAGTTGTAATGAAAGTTCTTTGGCAGGACTAAGCAACCTGAATTACCTCTTGCTACTCTTGACTCACTCCATTCTCTTGCTGAACAACTTTTAAACTAAAACTGTCTTTGAAGCTTGTGCCCAGCTTTTCTGTTTCTAAATTCTAAACCTTGGTTTTGATGGTTGACATGTTAATCTGTATTTTTCTCTTTTTCTCTTACCTCTTCTTTAGAAAGAGGTTTTCTCTCTAAAGTTTTTCCACAGAATTCTTTTGAAGCTCACCAAAAAAGCCTCAAACAAATCCTAAACTATTTTTCTACTCTCAGTAATGTTTGTTGGTAATTTTGTTTTGGGAGCATGTTTTTTCCCCCCCCCAGCATACATTTGTATTCGAATAGCATGCAGTGCCAAGTTCAGAGGTGCTGGAGAAATAAAAAGAATTTTCCATGCAAATTTTAACCCCAGCTACTTGATATCTTATGAGAGTTTTATTGCTAGGGAAATTGTTCACAACAAAAGAATAGAGACTTCACGCATTTTGAGCAAAGTGATACGTGAATTTACTAGAACAGGTCTGATGGAGGTAATATTGTTTGCTTGGTTGTGGCTTAAATGAAAAAAAGCTTTGTCTTCAACATGTAAATCTTTAACCACAAGACACCAGCTCACAACATGAAGTTTCTGAGGTGTAGGAACTTCTTTCTACTCTTTTCCGGTTATAATTTACCTTTTTTTTTTTTGTTGTTTTAATTTGGTTCTGTTTAAGACAACCTAATTTAAAGGAACCCTGCACAGAGAAACGTACTTAAAAGCCTACAAGCTCTTTAATCGTATTGGTAGAATCATAGAATAGTTAGGGTTGGAAAGGACCTTAAGATCATCTAGTTCCAACCGTCCTACCATGGGCAGGGACACCTCACACTAAACCATGCTACCCAAGCCTCTGTCCAACCTGGCCTTGAACACCACCAGGGATGGAGCATTCACAGCTTCCTTGGACAACCCATTCCAGTGCTTCACCAACCTTACAGTAAAGAATTTCTTCCTGATATCCAATCTAAACTTCCCCTGTTTAAGTTTAAACCTGTTACCCCTTGTCCTGTCACTACAGTGCCTAATGAAGAGTCCTTCCCCAGCATGCCTATAGCCCCACTTCAGATACTGGAAGGCTGCTGTGAGGTCTCCATGCAGCCTTCTCCAGGCACAAGAGTCCCAGCTTTCTCAGCCTGTCTTCATATAGGAGGTGCTCCAGTCCCCTGATCATCCTCATGGCCCTCCTCTGGACTTGTTCCAACAGTTCCATGTCCTTTTTATGTTGAGGACACCAGAACTGTACACAGCACTCCAAGTGAGGTCTCCTGAGAGCAGAGTAGAGGGGCAGGATCACCTCCTTCATCCTGCTGATCACTCTCCTTTTGATGCAGCCCAGGATAGGGTTGCTTTCTGGGCTGTGAGCGCACACTGAAGCCGGCCCATGTTCATTTTCTCATCAACCAACACCCCCAAGTCCTTCTCCTCAGGGCTGCTCTGAATCTTCTCTGCCCAGCCTGTAGCTGTGCCTGGGATTGCTCTGACCGAGGTGTAGGACCTTGCACTTGTCATGGTTAAACTTCATGAGGTTGGCATCAGCCCTCCGTACAAGCATGTTGAGGTCCCTCTGGATGGCATTCCTTCCCTCCAGCATATCAACTGAATCACACAGCTTGGTGTCATCAGCAAACTTGCTGAGGGTGCTCTCAATCCCACTGTCCACGTCAGCGACAAAGATGTTGAACAAGACCGGTCCCAACACCAATCCCTGAGGGACACCACTCCTTACTGGTCTCCAGCTGGACATTGAGCCATTGACCACAACTCTTTGCGTGCAGCCATCCAGCCAGTTCTTTATCCACCGTGTGGTCCACCTATCAAATTGATTTGTGTAGTTCATACTTAGCTTGATGCTTTGGCATGTTTGCATGGAGTTACATGTTACTGCAAATGTTGCTCTTCTAAAATCCAAGCCTTGGTGAGGTAAATGAATATACTAATGCTGTGAAAGAGCATTTGTGTTTCAGGCTTTTTTGTTACCCTAGTACTGTTCTCTGAATTGAAAGCTCTAATGACCTCTCAAATAAAGGCCTAAGAAAATACGCTTTGGATAGCACTTTGATTATAAATGTTAAATCGGGTTGAGTCCAGCTGCTTTAGCTTCTGATGGTATGGGATAATGTGGCTTTTCAGTTTACATATATATGAAACTGCCTCGTCTTAGAGTATTGGTGGTCATGTCAGTGCCTGGTATGTGCAGGTAGGAGGGCAATTCTGGGATACCTTTTCTTTCTGTGAAAATCTCTGGACAGAAATGCCTAGAGCTATAAGCCCTTGGGGGAGCCCATGGTGTGTGTGAGATCTGCTTCCAAGTCTTTGCAATTTGTTTGTTTCAGAAACTAGGAACTGACTGCATAAAGGGTTTTGTATATCTTGCTCTCCACGAGACTTTTGTTGCTATAGTTGAGTTTTTATTGAATTTATCCAGCTGGCTTAGCTCTGCCACCTCTGTGATGTCACTTGGTATGAACTGATCAAAAGAGTGGTTTGCTGCACAGGTAGTTCATTTGGGAAGAAACTTTTGCTCTGGAATTCTTGGTCATTTTTTTCAGCACAGCATCTTCTAGTAAGTACTATAGTTGTTTGAAGTAAATGCAGGAATAGACTTTAAAACCTGCTCTTCATGATGTGGTATGGTGGTATTTTGGCAGCAACAGCAGCGTATGATGTTCCTCCCCCATGATTTATTCCACCATATGCTGCCACTGGCTTGGCTGTGGCAGCACTGTTGGTTGTGGTACTACCTGGTGAACTGGATGAAACAGGTTACCACTTTTCTTCAGTGTGTGATGACAGCTGAGGAGGTGGCATGCCACATGGGTGGGAAGGGGAAACAGGGTTTGGAAACTTCTGAAGAGAGCCTTGCTGCTGGTGAGTGTGCCAGTGTCTCAGAGTAGGTACTGATCTGTCCTACAGGGAGAGCAGCAGTAGAGACAAGGTTTGGGAGTTATGATTGCATCTTTAGGCAGAACAGTGTTATGTTATTAAAATACATGCTGTCTTTGTCACTGTTTGCTCATAGCACTTAGAACCTTTGTGTTCAGAAATACCCTGTGTTGTATGTTGCTGGTAACAGTGTTCAATTTCTATTTATAATGTAATGCTAAAAATGTTTAATTTATGTTGTTTTAACTAATTTTGTATTAAAAGGGACTTCAACTTTGGGGTTTGCAAAATGCAAGAAATATTTCTAAGCCTCTACTCTGAAAGAACTTACCTTTTTTTCTATTTTTTTTCCTAGCCTTATTAAATGAAAATCTTGGTGCAAGTGTTCTGGAATAATAGATGCAGTCCTGCTGTCAGCTTTTGCTGGTCAGTTCTGTTCTTCATTTACAGATTACTTTTACAATATGCGCTTGCATATACATCTCTCTCTTCATGTGACTGGAGCCTTGAAACAGGATGACTGTGTTTTTTTTTGATGTATGATGAAAATCACCTGTATGCTTTTCTGCCAAAGCTCAAAAGTACGTGCCAGATTTCATTTCAGGTGATTCATGTTGTTTTAGAAATGTTGTTCCTGCCATTGTCAAAAAGGATAAACTGCTTCTGTAACTTCTTCCTGCTTGTTTTCCTTCAAATCTTTCCCATCCTGTGTCCTGCTGGATCTTTCTGGAACAAGGTTTCTGCACTGCTTCCCACCACTGGCTGGTTTTCAATAGTGCGTGTGTACATATATTGACACTTCCTTAAGCATTGTATGTTGTAATGACCACAGTTGATACCTCTCGAGTTGCCTGTTGCAGCTTTGTGCTAAAGCTTAAGTCTATTTTCACTTAGTATAGACGAACCATGTATGCTTTCAGTAGGCAGTATGTGGATACAGATATAGACTTCATCAAAAAGGACAGAGCTGAGACTTAAATGGTACTGAGTTATTGATTTGTTTGGATGGCCTTGAGGAAGTTGGAGGGAGGGGGTTCCATGACTTCTATATGTGAAGTACTTCACTATTGCTCATTTTAATATGTTCCCTTTGCTGTTTTGAAGGTGTTGGAGCTGTGATCTTTCTAGAATAGGCAATCTAGTTCCTCCCACTATTTGTTTCTTCTGTTTGAAGCAGTGTATTTGCTGCTGCTTGCAAGTTGAGGATTACTGATAGTACCTCAAAGGCATTTGTGTGAAAAGGCACATGCAAGTTCAGGCTAGCAGTGGAAGCTCCAGACTATAACAAATGTACAACAAATGACTCCTTGTAGTTGTTCCATGCTATATTCAAAATTCCTGATGTTCATGTGATGAAAGTTTAGAATGAATTTAGTTTTAGGCTGTATCCTTTGATTATCAAGCCTACATATCATGTATTGGGAAAAGGATAGGAAAGCCTTTAAATATCACATACCTCCTGTAACAGTTTCACAGTCTGCCTCGGAAGACTGGTTGCTGATCCTTCACAGCATGTATTTTTCTAATACTCAGTATATTATCTGTATTGTAATTCAAGCCTATTATGTTGTGCTTGTTCTGCTACTGATTAGTAAGAATAATCTGTTCTTGGCTCCTTCAGAAAAAATACTTATGTATTCTAATCTGGGTACTATGGCTAGTTATATTTCAAAGCATAACATTTTCTTGTAAATGCTACTTTCTGAACCTTTTATCTGGTATCCTGTAAATAATGCAGTTTCTTGAAGTATGATTGCTACAGTGAATTATTATACTAAACTGTAGCAGTGCAGCCAGTTTGGTTTATTATAAAATTTTTGAATGTTTCTTTGCTTTGTAGACTGTGTAGCAAGAGGTGTGAATCTTGGAGGGGGTGTGTGTATGGAGGTATGTGTGAACCTATAAATGACAGAGTATCTTGTTTACTAGGTCTGAGGTCATGATCCCTTTCCACTTGCAGGTACCTCTAAGGACTTGTCCCTTTGGCTGTGGGGAAACTGCCTGGCAGTTAAGGCAAGACTGTGGGAATTTGGCTAATTTGTATTTACGTGATTGGAGTGCAGCCAGTTGTCACTGAGCTCTCAACTCCTTGCATCTCCGTGTCACTATTGCCTTTCTAGCCTGTGAGCGCTTCACAATGGCTTCTGAGACACTGAGTATGTCTAGCTGTGATAAAAAATTGTTAGCTTATGTTTAAAATTACTGTAATTGTGCTTTTTCTAACTGTTTTCTTTCTTTGTTCAGGACTCTGTTTCTGGGTAAAGAATGCAGACTATAAAGTGTGTAGTTGTTGGAGATGGCGCTGTGGGAAAAACTTGTCTTCTCATCAGCTATACCACCAATGCCTTCCCAGAAGAGTACATCCCTACTGTGTTTGACAACTACAGTGCTCAAATGACTGTTGATGGCCGGACTGTTAGCCTGAATCTCTGGGACACTGCAGGCCAGGAGGAATATGACCGCCTGCGCACTCTCTCATATCCTCAAACCAATGTATTCGTCATCTGTTTCTCCATTGGTAGCCCCTCTTCCTATGCAAATGTGAGGCACAAATGGCATCCTGAAGTTTCTCACCACTGTCCAAATGTTCCCGTTCTTTTAGTGGGCACGAAGAGAGACTTAAGAAATGACCTGGAAACAGTCAAAAAGTTGAAAGAGCAAAGCTTGGCTCCAACTACCCCGCAGCAGGGAACTTCACTGGCTAAACAAATTGGAGCAGTCAAATATTTGGAGTGCTCAGCATTGAATCAGGAGGGTGTTCGTGAGGTGTTTGCTGAAGCTGTGCGTGCAGTTCTGTATCCTGTGACAAAGAAGAACACAAGAAAATGTGTCTTATTGTAGTTACCTGGAGTGATGGAGGTTCAAAGTTGAATACTGACTAGAATCTTGGAGGGCTCTTTAATGAGTTAAATTGAAGATTCGCATGTTGCACTAACAGCTCTAAGCAGAAATGCTTTATGCAGCGAATATTCTTGCAGTCTTATTGCTTCAGGGAAACTGAAACAGAGTTTTTTTTTTTTGTTTTTTTTTTTTTATCTACCTGAGAGGTCAAATATCTACTTTATTTCTAAAGTTCCAGTCTCCAGCTTCTCCAGGGATCACTTGGCTTTTGTCCTTATTCTGTGAGGAAAATAAAAGAAGGTACTTCTTTGAAGCCAGACTTCTTTACTAGATAGACATCAGTTAACTAGATTTGTTGAAAAGCACAGATTATGATAGCTTTGCTCTAAGTACAGCTGCTGCTTTTCCCATCCCTTATTTTACTCATCTATTTTACAAACAGAAGTCTGACTATGCAGTTCTTTTGCTTTGTCAATTTAAGTCTTCAAAACAATTTGTTTACATGCAAAAATGCCTGAAATATTTCTGAGATTCACCTTAGAGTGAACTGTGATCATTTATATGAAGAGTTAGCATACGGTGTGTTTAATGTAATGAGTAAGACTCAAGGAACACCTGCAGTGATTTTATTAATAGAAGTAGGAGCTGATAATGTACAGAATTTAGGATAATGATGAATCACTGAAATGAGCAATTTTCAAACTTTTGGAGAGGTGAAAGAGTAGTTTAGATGCAAGTCTTTCATAATAATCTAAACTGAGTTTTGATTTCACTCTCCAAAGAGATTTTGCACCTTGAGAATAAAGTTCAGTTACCTTCTCAGACTGCCTGAGGTAGTTGCAATGACACTTCTCAAAACGAGATTTTCAGTGTGATACCTTTCATGAATCCCAGAGACTTGATAGCAGCCCATTTGCCATTTGCTCTTGAGGACTTAATTTCTTTACTTCTTACTGTTCTTGGGCCACCACCTGAGATTTTTATGGCATATTGCTTTGTCGCTTTTCTGGGAGAACACTGACAGAAAATTTGGAGGTTCTGTTTACAGGAACCAGGAATGCTTGTTTCTTCCTGGCAACTCATTCATGGTTTCAGTTAAATTTATAATGGTTAGTCAGTCACTGAATAGATTTTACTTGGGCAGTTTTTTTCTTTCTAGTAGGTGATCACTTAATATAAACTGTTTTAACTGAAGTTCTATTTACATCCTTTTTAACTTTGTTTAGCATCTCTAGTGAGTGGCAGCTGGCTTTTACTTTCAGGGTGCACTGTTCTTGATGTGTCATTCCAGGACCAGCTGAGGAGTGAGTGCATGAAACCTTCCTTAGACTTAACCTTACAGTTTGGTGGTATGAAAGCAGCATGCTTCAAAGCTACTTTGTGTGAAACCAGTGGTGCTGGACTGAGCTTTGTTGTCTGAGGTTGACAGTGCTGTCTTTGTCTGGGTGCAGCCTCAATGGGTAATTCAGGACTTGCTTTCTTGTGATTCCCACACATGCAAAAGTGCACTGGTGTATATCCTGGACAGAAAAAAGCCTCATTTTAGCATGAGACCAGAGAGTACATCAAGAATGGTTTAGGGATATAGTGTTAATTTGACCTTGCTTTATCTGATACATACAAAAATACCAGGTGGATAGAAACATTCATATTTGTGCCCTAATTCCCTTTCAGGAGGATGTGCCCTTCTTCAGCTGGTGTAACTGATGCTCAATTTTTTGTGTTTCTGAGATCGCTTGTATTGGTATTGCTTTAGTAAACTGCAACTCATAATTTATAAACTGCAGTTAATCCAAATACCAGTGTATGTGTCTAGTGATCCAATGCAGAGGTCCAAATGTTGCCTTATTGTGAGCAACACCAAAACACCTGTTATGTATGTTTGCAGAAGCCTAGGGACTCTGTGTATTTTTCTTCACCAAGTGCCATTGCAGTCATGGAAATGCTGTTCCAGATGTGGCTCCCATTGCAGTGCCCTGCAGGCTTGTGAGGCTGTAGTATTTTAGTTAGGTAACCTCTACTCACCATGTTCTGCCTTTACTTTAGTAGTAGGCCTTTACTGTGGGATTGACTTGGAGGTAGTAATTAACTGTGCCTTATAATTCAAGATTATTTTCTGTAGGTAAATTTCAGTAACTGCATAAAAAGGCTTTATCTTGTTTACAATATATTTATGTAAGCCAGTGCACATGGGCATTTTTAATGCTAGTCAGGCCTAAATCAGTTCTCTAGTTACCCCAGTGCAAGCCCCTTTGCTTCATTCAGAGATGTACTTCAAAGTGTTTGTGACATATTTGAACTGCTTTTTAATAGACTTAATTTCAACAACAGGCACCTCTTCCCCCCCCCCCTTTGCCACATATATTTGCAAATTTGTACTGAAAATACTACTGTTTTAAAAAGTTTTAACTTTTTTATGTACTGAAATCTTTTAGTTCTGCATATTTTGTGGTTATTCTGAACTGGATGACAGTAACTCTGTGGAGAAGAAATCTTGTGAGCAAGTATTACTGCACACCCCTCCTGTTCCTGTAGACTCACAGAGCAGCCAACCTGGTGTTAACTGGAAGAGAGTGTAGTGAGATAAAATTCATCTACTTAATCGAATTATTTGAATTGATTACATTATCCTAGAACACTTTATCCCCACCTAGATTCCTTACTAAATGGATCACACAGTAGTACGGAGGCGAATAACATGATAGTGATGAAAATGAGCAGAAGGTGAACTTTGAACACTGTCAGAAACTTTAGGGGATTTGGTGTACCTCATTAACAGTTGCTTAGGTGTCATGTGTTTCTGTTGCTTTCTCCCAGAAGCAGAAGCCCTGCTTGGCTGATAGCTCAGCTGGTTTTCTCCAGCCTCTGCTCTTCATGAGGAAGAGCTTCAGGAGCACACAGATACAATAAGCTTTTCCATTCAATGGCCATTCTAAGTTTGTGATCTTCCTTTCCCTCCCTGCCTACAATTCTTGATGCATTTTATTGTAAGTAGTCCAGTGCTTCAGTCTACAGTCTATTCTGTACCTTCCACATGTTCTTTCGGTTTTTCTCCAGTGGACAGGAAGCAAATACAGAGTTCACACAATGCCACAGCTGGATTTTATCAAATTTTTGGTTTTGTTTTAATCAAGAACAGTTTGGGAGATCAGAAAACACGAGTTAAGCTATGTGGGTTTTCTCTACTGTTCAAGATTCCTCAGTTTGTTACGGATAGGAATGCAGTGTGTATGTCTTCATTCACAGAAGAGGCTCTCTGTGAAGAGGTTGATTTTGTCAGGGCATGAATGATTTCTGAAATAAGTGGTTTTTTGAAATATAGCTGAAGCCACGCACAAGGAACTGAGCAGTACAGGAATTGTGTGACCAAAGGATGATGCGGGGTGTGCTTAGATGTGCAAATGCTTTCTCCAGTTTACGGCGGAGCTATTTCTATGGAACCTAAGGGGGAAGGGCCTCCCCGTGCTGTCTCCCAGTGCCGAACCTTGCTCCTGGTGCTACCTGGGCATACCGTGAGGAGCCAACGGACTGAGAAGCGCCCATCGGCGTCGGGAGCTCAGGGCTCCAAGTGTGGTACTGATACATACACTGGCGACTTGATTTGATACTATAAACTTGTATTACAGCTAACAGTTTTAAAGGATTTTTTTTGTTGTTGTTTTTGGTTTAAATTATGCAGAATTATGTTGCAATAAACATTTTCTCCTCTTTCTGTCTCTCGTATTAACTCCCCCGGCTGTTTGTAACGCACCCGTTCTAAACGTAGCTCTCTCCTGTGGAAAGCCAGGCCCCGTTTCTGAGATGCAGTAATCTGTTTCCCGATAAACGCTGGAGCTTTCGCGCTTCCTTGAGGCGGGGTGGGCCGCGCGGGGGCGCCGTTCTCAGGGCCCGCAGGTCGCTGCCGGGTCCCGCTTCCGGTTCCGGGTCGGCAGCGTAGCGATGTCGGACTCGGAGAGCGAGGAGGAGGTGGAATGCGGCCGTGCCGAGCCCTTCTCCCTAGCCGGGTTCCTCTTCGGCAACATCAATGAGGCGGGGCAGCTGGAGGGGGAGAGCGTCCTCGACAAGGTAGGGCTGTGTCGCTCCGGCGAGGCGCCGCTGCGGCGCGGCGCGGGCTGAAGGACGGGAAAGGAGCCGAGTGTCCAGTGGCGCGGGTCTGCGGCGGGCCGGGAAAGGGGAGTCGGTTGGCCGGGCTCTGGCGCAGGCTGCAGGGCGGGATCGAGCCTGACAAGGGGCCCGGCCTTCCTGGCGGAGCCTCCGCGCTGGGACGTGGCTCTGGTCTCCCCAGGAATCCAAGAAGCACCTGGCTGGATTGGGTGTGCTGGGACTGGGCAACCTGATCACCGAGATCACAGCCAGCGAGGAGGACAGTGCGGAGTCCGATGGAGCCCACCTGGATGAGGAAGGTTAGGCACTGGGGTGCCTGCAGTTAAACTGTAGAGGGGCTGCAGGATCATAACTCTTACTGGAGAGGAAGAAAAGCACCCAGATAATCATGCAGGGAACACTGTGATTTATCTGGTCAAAGGTCCTCTAGCAAAGGGCCTTTCCTTCTCCTTGCCAGAGTGATCCCACACTATCTCCTGGTCACTTTTGCACTTGTTCGCTTTAATTTTTATATAAGTGGGGTTTTTTTTACTTGTTGTTTCTCCCTCATAAATAAGTTTATTCTATGTTTCCCCTGTGTTAAATGAATCTATTTAGTGCACAATATTATCATGCCCCTTTTCCTTTTTTTTATTTAAACTGCTTGTTGAAGAGTTTTACTGAGTAAGTGAAAGGTGTTCCTTCTGCTAAAGTTGGTTACTTACCAGTCTGGATGGGAAATTCAGAGCTCTTGGAGCTGTTGGTTGGAGTATCAGATGTATTTGTTCCTCTAAGAAAAGAAAACATCAGAAAGGATTCATGTGGACACATCAAAGTCTGACATTAGTTATCCATATTAGGATAAAGTTCTGTGTGACTAGTTTTCTTTTCTTCCTAGGCTGGGTTAAAAGCACAGAAGATGCTGTTGATTATTCAGATATTAATGAAGTGGCAGAAGATGAGAGCCGTAGGTATAAGCAGGTGATGGGCAGCCTGCAGCCAGTTCGAAGGCCAGGTAAATGGGATTAGTGTTACATCTGTAGTTGTAGAAGGTATTTTGGGGCAGTGAGCCTTGACAGTTTCTATATGGGTGACATTGTACCTTTTCACTCCTTGCTTCAAGAGCCTAATACAAGCTTTTGTAGAACTGTGTTCACTGGATGAAGCCGCTGGTTGGTATCTTCCTGTTTTAATGAATTAGTTCCTCATTAGACTTAAATTATACTCAGAAAAGAAACTAGGACCCTCCTTTTGCTCTGGGAACCCCTGCAGAGAATTCCCAATACCTGCTCATGTTTTGTTAATTAGTGTTCTTAAGAAGAGGGTTATGCAGCAGGCCTGGTGCTTCTTGGAGATACTCAGAGGTAGAGATAAGGTCCTGATCCTTTAGAGAGTCACTTCAATCTTAATATTTCTCTTCTGGTTTACCCCGTTTTTTTTTTCTTTTTTTTTTTTTCCCCTCTGAAATGACTTTCTGTAGAAGGCAGTTTGGTTCTTTTGTTGGTCCCAGGGATCTCTGTCTGGTCTGGAAAAGATTTTCAAAACCATGAAGCTTTTCCCTTTCAGTAGCTGATCGTGTAAATGCTAAATCTTTGCATGTTCCTTAAAGCTGCCTTACATTTAACCTTGCTGTTGACAGATTGTGGTTAGCGGGATGTAAAGGGGATTAGGACTTTTTAACCACATTTTTACTACATTTTTCTTGATTCTTTACAGCTTTATTTGCTTTGCAAAGCGTGAATAAGGGAAGTGATCACATAATATACATGTATATGCTAAGTGCTTCAGTCATCTTTCTGTCAGTTTGCCTTTTCCCTTCCTTCGAATTCTTTCTTAAATTTCAATCTTGCAAATGAGCATGTTCAGAAAGCTGAACTTGTGAGAGTTCTACATCTTGTTACAAAATGAGGATAGTCTCCTCAGTAAGGGAAGACATGCTCTTCTCATCAGGTTGAGACAGGTACAAGATAGTATCAATGGGAGGGGTGCCTGGTTCCTCTTTATTGTCTGTTTAATATGCAGTCTTGTCTCCTGACTGGTTAGATGAAGATGAAGATGATTATGATGCTGACTGTGAAGATATTGATTCCAAGTTGATGCCACCACCACCACCACCTCCAGTACCTGGAAAGAAAGAAGATGAAAAGGACACAGCTGCAGCTGGTGAGTGGGAACTTTCTTCCTCTCTCTGGCAATGTGAATATCTGAAGGAAGCAAACACTGATGTGCAGCAGTTCATTCTGCAGCAAGCACCACATGTCATCAAAATTCAGTCTTCAGACTGCATCTAAAGGTGGGTTTTCATCCTGATATGCAATGTTAAAGGATTGTCCGAAATGTAAGGTGAAATATTTTATTTCCAGTGATTGATAAAATACTGATATTGACAATGAAACTGCTTTTTTTTTTTTTTTTTTTTTATCTCATCCTCTCAGTTGTGGCTGGGAAATTCACCTGGAACGCTTAGGATAAAATGCAAGGTTAAACCAGAATGGTACTCATAACACCTGCAGAGGCTTAATTTTTGCATACCTTGGTATAAAATCAGTAGTTGTGGCATTATGGGGTTGTATTAGGGGACAGGGAGGAAACCTGTTTGTTTATAAGGTGCTTGTTCTATTGTAGTATCTGAAGATGGAGACGGTATCATTTTGCCCTCCATCATTGCTCCTTCCTCTGCTGCCTCCGACAAGGTGGATTTCAGCAGCAGCTCTGATTCTGAGTCAGAGATGGGACCTCAAGAAGCCAGGCAGGCAGAATCCAAGGAAGGCAAACTCACACTTCCTCTTGCAGGAATCATGCAGCGAGATGCTACCAAACAGTTGCCAAGTGTTACAGAGCTCTTCCCGGAATTTCGACCAGGCAAGGTATTGTAAGAGATGTGAAAATGACATAAACTGTATCACGTAAGCCCTCTAAATGTGCATCATATAGTATTAAGGCTCTGTAGTAAGTAATTATGTAGATGTTCTTGCTTACCTCAGTGCCATCTTTACTTTCTGTGTGCTGCTGTTTCCAGACTGCTTAATATGCAATGCTTTTCCTGCCATTTGCAGGAGTCTCTTAAAAAGCCTCATATAAATCAGGGTGTGAAACAGTATTTTGTAGTTCTGTAAGACCATAGCACAGGTATCTTTAGGTTTGAAAATTGTTTTTTTTGAGTTAGTAGAGAATACTTTTGCCAGATTATTTAAAAACCATAATGCTAATCTGTCTGCTTTCTTTTTTTTTCTGGCAAATACTTGCTCCTT